CAGATATATTAGCAGACTTTTGATCAGCATCTAGTTTATGACATTTGTAGTGATGTGAACTCTGGGAATATCTAGCCTCTCTTGCTTCCCACGTCAATGATCTTCTGAAGCAGGAGTAACAATATACATTTCCTTCTTATGTTTAATTCTGCAACGAGACAGCAAAGAATAAAGTGGCTTAATTCTCAGCTCTTTAGTCTGGTTCATCTAGTGGTGTTTCTATCATTACAGAGCATCACGTATTGGATCCCCCCACCCCCAACATCTGTGAAATTGATCTCACAACTTGTTTCAAAGTGTAGAAAAAAGTTTGCCTAATGGAAGATTGGAGTTAAAGTGACAAGAGTTTGCTTTTGTCAGTGCACCGTGGTGGATATGTTTTCTACTGGTATTAAATTCAGCGCTAACCTGGTAGACTGCAAAGAATGTATTATTTCAGCCCGAGATGCACTGCATTAAAAAACAAACAAGACTTGCAATGAACAGACACACACAACAAAAAGAAATACTAATTTTTCTCAAAAACTAGATTTTGGGAAGATTTTCGTACCAGTGCAGGAAGGGGATAGATGAGGGATGACAATAAACAAGGGAGTCAAAGGAGCAAAGAGACTCACAAAGGAAGAAGACGGCGAGAGGGTTGAGGCACTATGAGGAAATGTTGCAGTTTCCATCTTCTGTGTAGACAGGGGCACCGAATAAAAACTGGATGTGCAGATTCTCAGAGCCAGTAGTATTGCTGTGAATCACGAAGAAGTAGCATATGGGGCTACAAGGCAGTTCCAATCTGGATGAATTCTAGGGGAGTTGATTTGGAGTACAGTGGTGCCTCGCTAGACGATAATCCGTTCCACTGAAATCACTGGTTAGCGAAATCATTGTCTAGCGAAAAGCATTTCCCCCATTGGAATGTGTTGAAACCTGTTTAATGCGTTCCAATGGGGAAGAATCGTTGTTGTCTAGCAAAAATCGGCCATAGGAAAGCCGCTTTGTGAACCGCCGATCAGCTGTTTAAATCGCTGTCTTGCGAAGCTTAGGACCCAAAAACACCTGTTTTGCAAGCGCAGAGGAAGCTGTCAAAATTGTCGTCTAGCGAAAATCAGTTTGCGAAGCAGGGACCAAACATTGTCCAGCAAAATTCCTCCATAGGAATCACTGTTTTGCGAATCACTATAGTGATTGCAAAAAGACAATGTCTAGCGAAAAAACTGTCATGCGGGGTAACTGTCTAGCAAGGCACCACTGTATCATGAAAGAGAAATAACTTGTTACCTCTTTCTTCATATTGTGATTTTATTACTACTGAAAGGGAGAGGTGCTTGATGGAGGATAAACAGTGTCAAGTGGCCAAAAACAATTTTGCCCATCTTCAGTCATTTGCACCATGGCCTGGGAGGTGTTGAGTTTGACCTGTGGGAAATTCAACTCTGACTTGGGACAGATGTGCAGAGTGCCAGCGAGGCACTGTGCAGGCTGCACCTAAGACAACAACACTCTCCTTACAGGCCTCTTCTTTGCCTATGTCCATCATCATTGTGGGAGTAGGCCCTGCGGAATTTGGAGGTAAGTGTTGCCCACAGGTAGATGAGCGATAGCCGGCCAGCAATTGTATGTGATGAAGCACATCAACTAGTCTGATGCATTAGGAAACGTAATTTTGGGGGCGGGGTGTCAGAACAGCCGAGCAAGCAGATGATTCTGCACACCTGACCTGTGAGGCAAAACACACAATACCAGTCTTCAATTTTAATATCATTCTTGTCTTTCCAAAATCTAGCTATTAATATTCTAGCACCTGTCATAAAATTAGTGCTTAATTCTTTCGAGTGATGGTCCAGATCTGTATTATCAAAAATTGACAATAAAGCAATTTTGGCATTAAAATCAATATCTTTACCAAATATATCACACATTTCCTTAAAAATCAATTCCCAAAGTTTCTTAACCACTTTACATTCCCACCACATATGTGGAGGGCAGGCATTTCTGTCTGATCAGCCCCCATTAGTCCTCTGCTTACCTTGAAACAAACATCTGTGAGATGTTTCTTATATTTCTTATATAAGGAAACACCTCTATGCATCTTATGCCCAGCCAAAGGTAAAAAGTGAGGTTTTCTTTTTAAAAAAAACAGAATGAAAGAAAGCTGTATTTAGCCTTACAGGTGAAATATGAAACTGTACCCTCTCTCCTAATGTTTGACTATGTGTGTAGTTAGGATTATGTGGAACAACCTGGAAGATTTTGCCCAAGTTGAATGGGCATGTGAAATGTCATCCTCTTCTACTCTTAATGGACCTACATCTCACCTCTTGCAAAAGTGAGATCTACCAATGGCTTTGGAGCTCGATCTTTCAGTTAAAATCTCTTTTGCTTACTTTGATCACATGCAAGTATGAAAGAGGTGAATAAATGGGGGGAGGGAGAGGAAAAACCACTGCAGGTTTTTAAATGGAATTGACCCCAACAACAACATATTTGAAAGGTGATGGAGACGAGATCAAGATCCATAGGTGTGGATTCAGCTCTCCAACACCTGTCCATATGGACTTGAGCCGGGAAGGGTAGGTTACTCCTGTCAGTTCTTCAACACCATTGATGCCAAAATGGATGAAGACATGGGAATCTGACTTGAGCATCCCAAAGCCTATAAAGTTACTTTTTTGGACTGTACCTCCCAGAATTCCTAGCCACACTGACTCAGGGATTTGAAGAATTGTAGTCCATCTGTCCCTCCTCTGCCTTTTTACCTTTCTGTGTTTTCCCTGTTGCAGTTTGTACCATTCCGGGACTATGTGGACCATTCGGGGAACCACGTATTGAGCATGGCACGCCTGGCCAAGGACGTCTTAGCTGAAATCCCTGAGCAGCTTCTCTCTTACATGAAGGCCCGGGACATCAAGCCTCTCAATGCTAATAAACAGTAGCTCCATCCTCTGTGCAGCCTGAGTCGATCAGATTTTCTGCTCCAGCTGGGACTGGGAGGACTCCTACCAAACTGGCAATGCTGGCTGTTCCCACACTCACATGTGGAACTGGCTGAGTTGTTGGGGTAGGGGGAGAACAGGCATCTCTGTAGAGAGATGGGCAAGAAATTCCATGCTTTGCACATGGGATAAGAGACAACAGCACAAAACCATGAACCCACCCAGTATCTTGAAGAGATGATTTCACAAAGCAGCCCTGGCAAGGGCCATGGACCAGAAGGGAGCTCAGAAGGAAGCAGGTATCTTCTTGGGGTCCTGGAGCACGATTTCCTTCAGGCCAGATCTGCTACATAAGGTGCCATTTAACTCTTATTTCTGCCTGATTACTGAGAATAAATTATCCTGTCCCAGGACCTTTTGCACCGGTTTCATTTTATTGACACTGGCTCATTGTTATGTGACTCGATTGTTGCCTCCTGCAGCCTCACACTATGTCTCCCACACAGGGATCGGCTTAGATCCTGGCTATGCGTTAGCACAGTTGTAGTCCTCAGATTCGTTTGTGCTCACGTTATGTGTTCATATACGAACAGGAATAGTGCTCCTCTGAGATGTAGCTTTGCTTAGGCCTTGCCTGAACCATTGTGTTCAGTTCTGGGCACCGCAGTTTCAGACAAGCTCGAGCAATTCTAGAGAAAGGCAGCCAAGGTGGTGAACAATCTGAAAAATCAAGTTTTATGAGGAATGGTTGAAAGCCCTGGGTATGTTAACTGCGGATGAAGAGGACTGAGAAGTGATGTTATAGCTGCTTTCCAATATTTGAGAGACACTCACAGCAGAAGATAAAGCAAGTTTGTTTTCTACAGCTCCGCTAGGTAGCATCCAAACAATAGGTTTTGAAATTTCAATTAAGTATTAGGAAGAACTTGGTAGTAAGAGTTGTTTTATACTAGATTGGAATGGACATTTTTAAACAGCCACCTGTCAAGGATGCTGTCAGTTTCTTGCTTCTGAAGGGGTTAGACTGAATGACCTTTCGGATTCCTTCCAGCAGTATACTTTGACAATCCTATGACACCGGTGAATGTTGCATCCCTCTAGAGCAGTGGTTCCTAACCTTGGGAAACCGGTAGTAAGAGTTGTTTTATACTAGATTGGAATGGACATTTTTAAACAGCCACCTGTCAAGGATGCTGTCAGTTTCTTGCTTCTGAAGGGGTTAGACTGAATGACCTTTCGGATTCCTTCCAGCAGTATACTTTGACAATCCTATGACACCGGTGAATGTTGCATCCCTCTAGAGCAGTGGTTCCTAACCTTGGGAAACCCAAATGTTCTTGGACTGCAACTCCCAGAAGCCTTCACCACTAGCTGCGTTGGCTGGGGATTCTGGGAGTTGCAGTCCAAGAACACTTAGGTTACCCAAGGTTGGAAACCACTGCCTTAGAAATCAACTTCACGGGCAGCAGGGCAGAGGCAGAATCAAAAGGGGATGAAGTCACAATTTTTTCTCTCCTGTATTTCAGAATAGGGTGATGGGGTATGAGGAGGAATGCCATATGACTGGCAAGCCTTTGTCTAACGAGACTGGGATAGGCATCCCAATCAGCACCATCTGAGGAACCCTGTACCTGCTCATTTTGAAAGAAGCTAGCAAGGACATTTGACTATGAGTTGTGGGATTTCTGTTTTTCCTACACCACCCGCTGCTCTCTGGTGTCCAGCCTGATGAAGACCTGTATTGGGTCAAAACTAATGTCTGTTGATATTTTAGGGATCCAATAAAGGTATTACCCACCCTTGCCTTCAGATCACAATATTTTATGTCAACGAAGGGGACTATTTTTACCCTTGTAGCAGCTGTCCAGCCCTAGACCCTCTAGTCTCTCTGGTGGGGTTTTTCACACGTACAGCAGAAGCAGCAGCCCAACCTGTAAAGTGCAGTTGCTGAAAGCCAGCAAAGCAGATGGAAAAAGAGACACTACTCCCACTGCAGGGTGTGGTGTGGCCTACTTTCTCTTTGCTCCTCGTGAAAGGAAGGCGCAGGCCTGGACCGCGGTGAATAAAACATGCTGCTGCAGCAGCTGGCAGGATGCCCGGGCTTGTTCCAAAACCGGCGGGAAGGCCAACCCAGGCAGCAGTAATGCCACTTCAAAGGCCCATCCGTTATCCCTTCCCTGCCTTTGAACTGCCTTTGACTTTTAGTCCAGGAAGCACCCGTTCACTTACAAAGGGGCTTGCTTGCTTCCTGGGAGACATTCTAATTTGTCGAACAGATGGAATGGGCAGTGCCAGCCCTTTGACCTGCATAGAAAGCACCGATGGCAACCTCGACTGGGGAGGCTGGTGATAAGACATAAGACATAAGACATAAGAAGGAGGCTGGTGATCAAGATGACGCCGAAGCCGCTTCCTGATACACAATTCCTTGCTTCAGCAAATCTTTGAAAGGAAGCTCCCTCAGCCAGCTAAACGAGGGCCCAGTGTTTATAGGACATTACAGGACCCCCAAGTTAGCTTTCAACTACTGCTTATTGTCATGATTGTGAAACTCTCCTTTTCCAGATACGAACTCATTCTTTCCGCTTCATATATTCCTTTACTGAAAAGGCACATAAATGTGTGATGATCTGGAAAACAACTGTAAATAAACTTAGCCTAGGTGTATCCAAATAAGGAAAGAATGGCACTATCTTGGGAAAATTAAATATGGGAAACAAGGGGGGGGGAGGGGAGAGAAATACAGTGGCACTTTTGCCAACATGCTGGGACAGACTAACATGGTTATTTCTTTGGAAATTTCACCACTGTATGGCTGTGCCTCTCCTACTCCCCGTTTCTTTACAACCCCTCCATTCCCTACCTCTCTGCCCTTAACTCTTTTCCAGCATACAGCTTTGCCCTTTCTGCTGCTTGATCCTCTTGTCCCATTTATCCAGGTTTCAGAATAGTAGCTTTGGCACGACAACATCTGATACGCAGAAGTGCTATCATAGAGCCAAGGCTCACAGGATCAAAACACCAGGACTTTTCGACTGGCAGAGCCAATGATACCATCTGCCACACATCCTTGAATGTTCTTGTTCCCCTCTGAGCTGAGCTGCTGTTTTTCACAGCAGAAGAAGAAAGTTACCTTTTTTGGAAATACTGCAGCCAGTAGGGCTGAGGGTGCTGGCGAGAAGGGAGTGTGTGAAATGCACGCGCACACACACACACACACAACCCGCAGCCTTATATCCACAAGAACTGTACCTGAGGTAATACAATATATCTTGGGAATTGCAACTACATTGACAGATAATGTGGGAAAGATGTTTCTAGCCCACTTGGCAGCAAAGGAAAATCTGAACTGTCCCCACAGAATGCTTTAGAAAACGGTATTTATTACCAGCTATTGAAAACCTGGAGGTCGTCTATCAAAAGAAACATCGTCTTTACCTCACACTGCCCTTTCAACAGAAGAAGAAGTTGCTACCCATCCTGTATCATAAGGCTAAGACCCAATGATCCCCAAATCTCTTTTACTGCATCTCAAAAAAATAAGAATTAAAGGATCCTTAAAAATCTACCTTGAAAACTGTGTTGTCAAAACAATAAAGGACTTCATCTTAGTTCTACCAACAGCCCTTGTAGATCAACAATACATTTTGGCTGGCAGCCTGATGCCTCCAGGAAGTCCACAAACAATATATTTAAAAGGGTATCATCTCTATGTCAGAAGTGTAAAACTCTATTTCTTCTTGGGCCACATCAGCATTATGGTTTCCCTCAAAGGGCCGGTTGTATCTGTAAAACTGTATAAATAAATGCATCTAATCTTTATCATATTAAATATAATCCTTCTCATTCAACTACCACTTTCTGACCCTTCGCTGCTTGGAATTAGAAGTCCCGCTGGGCAGATTCCCGGCATCCTTGCAAAGCATTATGGGTGACCAAGTAAGTATCTGTGTATTGTGTATTGCACAGTAGAAGGCAACACAGCGAGGGCCACATGAAATGGCCCAGTGAGCTGGATTCGGCCCGCAGGCCTCGAGTTTGACACATCTGCTCTATGTCTTTCTTCTTCTTTTCTATTTTCTGTACCTAGCAACTAGTCTTCAGAGTTATACTTCTTTTGAACATGTAGGTTCTATGTAGTTACTTAGATTTTTTTCCTTCAGTCTGCAATTGGGTACTTACCTGGGAGTAAATTCCACTAGATGTACACAGGATTCAGAGCATGGGAAATTACTTCATTGAACTACAGCTCCCCAAACCTCATAATAATCTTGGAACTGCAGAGCTGGAAGACGGATTATCAAGTCCAGCCCCTGTCAAGGAGGGACAGTGGGGAATCAAACTCCCAACCTCTGGCCACTGAGCTATCCAGGCACTACGGTCATAGGGGAAATTCTGAGTGCTGAAGTCTTAGATGTAACATTTCCAAACTCACACATCTTTGTCAATGGTTATCACTGCATCATATCATAGGAAAATGTCAATTTGTTGGTTGTGGAATTTATAATATATTTTTTAAAAAAAACACTGAATTACACTTGTAACGGCTGCCAATGCTTTGCTGCCATTAGGTCAGGGAGACTCATCCCTCAGTCACAAACACAGAGCTAAGAAAATACTGCTATGACACAGAGAGTCCTCCTCCATTCTTCTTCCCATTCACAAATCTCTCTTTGGAAGGACCAATGATTCACATAATCCTGCCTTTTGATGGGGCAGGTCCTCTTTGCCTGGTATGAGTCATCACCACCCAAATGGCCACTTTGGGTGAGAGACAGGATGTTCTGAACAAACTTCATGGCAACCGGAGCTCGTTCGCTCCATGGCAACCGGTGCCATCCGGCACCTCAGGCTAGGGTGCAGACGCCAAGGCACACACACACTAGCCACGCTAGCTGCTTAAAAACTCCAACAGGAAGCACGGCTCACCCTCTCACACAAACAAACCCCTTGGGACTGCAGTTTCCACCATCCTTCACCAGGATGGCTAGACCAGCCAG